GGGAACTGTCAATTCGATACCTTTACTGCAGGCTTTCTCGGGGCTTTCATAAGCCAGTGGGCACCATGCTCCACCAAGAGGGAAAATAAGTGTCTTATCCCAAACATCCGGGGGGTTGGCCACCTGCTCTATGTCCTGCCCTCTGCCGGCCTCCTCTGCTAGGAGGGAGGCCCAGCAGCTGAGAGCCGTAAGTTTGGTTGGCTGCTAAGAAGCAGCCCTGTGCTGAGCTGAGGCTGGGTGTCTCTGGGTGAAAAGCCAGCCCCTGCGCCGGGCTCTGAGGAGGTGGGGCAAGCTGGCCCTGACCTAGGGAGCTCCCAGGTCCCCAACCCTGCCTGGCCATTCTGCTCCATGTCCCAGGCCCTGTGACCCTGGGATGCCCTTCATCGCTCTCCTCGCTCCCACAGCTTGGCTGACTCCTCTTCCTTGAATACGGTCCCTTTTCCCGGAAGCCTTTCCTTACCCCTAGACGTGGTGGGACTGGGAGTCAGAATCTCTGGGTGCAGGTGCAGCCCTCCCACAGACAGTGCTGTGATTCTGAGCAGCCGCTTCCTTCTGCCCCTGGTGTTCCGGCTTATAGAACGGCCGAGCTCATAGAGGCCTTCGAGGCTCTGACACGACAGAGCCCTGTAATTGCCAAGAGGAAGCCACACCAAGCACTTCCGCCTGGCAGCCCAGGCTGATCTCTGTCTTGAAGCCCCCTGTATGCACGGGGCTGTGGGATGAGCGTGGGAGGGAATAACAGTGTGAAGGATGCATATTGTCTCGGGAAGGATGCCTCTGGGGGTGGGTGCTGGCAGGTGCTGAGTGATAATTTCACAAGATCATAGACTCTGGGTACAGAGAGGGGCTTCAGATGCAGTCGGCACCACACCTCCACTTCCATATGAGGAGGCAGGCCCTCATCTGTGACTGATGGGCCCAATGTCACACCCACAGCTGGGGCTGCTGGCTTCACACCCCGCAAACTTGCGCCTTTATGCTTTCAGTTTATGCACTGGCACCACCCTTAGCCCATTCACCAACAAGCCTGTGTGATGAAGCAGGGAGATTATCCCCGAATGCAGATGAAGAAAGTGAGGCCCAGTCCTAGCCGGTTTGGCTCAGTGGATAGAGCATCGGCCTGTGGACTAAAGGGTCAAGGGAGCATGCCCGGGTTGTGGGCTCGATCCCCAGTGGGGGGCATGCAGGAGGCAGCCGATCAATGATTCTCTCTCATCATTGATGTTTCTATCTCTCTCTCTCCCTCTCCCTTCCTCTCTGAAATAAAAAATATATTAAGGAAGGAAGGAAGGAAGGAAGGAAGGAAGGAAGGAAGGAAGGAAGGAAGAAAGAAAGAAAGAAAGAAAGAAAGAAAGAAAGAAAGAAAGAAAGAAAGAAAGAAAGAAAGAAAGAAAGGAAGAAAAGGCTCAGAGAAGTTATATAACTTGCGAAAGGTCACACAGCCCACAGGTGGCAGAGCAGAGTTCGTTTGACCATGGACTGTCTGACACTTTCCTTGGCCAGCATTCTTGTTATAAACAGCCATTCCCACTTCCTTTGTCCTGGATTTCCCATTCTCCCCCTTGGCCTGTGGAATCCCAAGCCCTTTGTGGCAGCTCATCTGTTGCCATGGCACCAGATTATGATGTCGCAGACCCTGGATGATTACATACTGCTCCTGGGCTGTGGAGTACAGGGACCCACAGAGGTGGGCATTGTCCAAGGGGCGACTGGCATGGAGGGACATGAATCCCTGGAAACAGGGAGCCACGGCCTCCCGCCCAGCTGGGGAATCACCCCGGGAGCTGGAGCCAAGGCTGCCACGGCCAAGAGAGCGGGGGCTGGCATGGCTTGTCCGACACCTCGGAAGACTGCCCAGCCCTCATCGCTTGGCAGTGCTGATGCAGCCTCTTGACGAGGGGCTGTCGGCTCAATTCCCTGAACAGCCGGCACCGGGCGCTTGCTCGGGTCCCCCAGGGGAGCCTTTTGCCTCTTCTGTGTCCGTGCTGCACGGGAAGCCACCGTCCCCACTTGCCCAGAGCGGGGAGGAACTGGCCCAGGGTCACCCGGGGAGGAGGTGGCCGTGCTAGGATTCAGTCTCCGCTCTGACTCCAAATCCTTCCACATTGTTACACTTCAGACAGGCCCATCAAGGTGGTTTAGTCTGGTCCCAGACCTAAAGTGGCAGGCTGCCGCCTCCGTTTCCCCAGGACAGCCCACGAGCAGAGCACCCGTTGACATTGCCCAGGTTCATTCTGCTCACACTTACGGGCACAATCCAGGAGAACACCTCATGCAGGCACCTCCGGGCTATGTTGATCTGCCTGGACCCGTGGCTCCTGGAACCCAGGCACACTGCACTTGCCACTCCGAGTCCTCATTCTTAGCCTGTATTGCTGAGATGGCCGAGGGCCTTAGTGGAGGGAGCCTACGCTTTGGCAGCTGCCACATGGAATTGAAATCCCACTTCCGCCACCACCACCCTCACCTCTTTGAGCCTCAATTTCCTCTTGTGTAAAATGGGATTAACAGCAGCTACCAGGGCATTTGACTGGGAGGTCAAACTGTGGCCCTTCTTGTGTAAAATGGGATTAACAGCAGCTACCAGGGCATCTGACTGTGGCCCTGCTTCCACCCATATGTGACCTTGGGCATGTAACTTAGCACCCCTGGATTTCCCCATGCGTCGAGCAGGACAGATGGGCCCCTTGTCGTGGGGTTTCCTGGGAAAGTGCCTCGCACGGGGACTGGCACATGGGACACACTCAGGGAATGTAGGACAGGAATGTTTCTCTCTTGGATGCTGAGCTTCTGGTGGAGAAACACTCTGCTGTCCCCGCTGGGAATGCCCAGGTGCTGTGGTCATCACTGTCCTTGTTTCAGGTGATTATGGGCCATGATTTACCTAGCGGTGGTATTGGTATCGGTGACCTCCCATGCCCCGTGGTGCAGGGCTCGGAGGGCTGCGCAGGCTCCTGGCCTGGAGTCAGGATGCTGGTTCTGGTCCCTGCCTTGCTGTTTCCCTGGGCTGACCCCGGCTCTGAGCCTCAGGCTCCCCATCTGTAGGTGGACTCTGATTCCTCTGGTTTCTTCTAGCCCTGCACAAAGGTGTTCTCCTATGGAAAGTGTGAAGAAAACATCCTAGCATGCAGATATACTGCAAGGATTCCACTGAAAAGAGAGGCAGGCCCAGCCGGTGTGGCTCAGTGGTTGAGCGTCAACCTATGAACCAGGAGGTCACGGTTTGATTCCTGGTCAGGGCACATGCCTAGGTTGTGGGCTCGATCCCCAGTAGGGGGTGTGTAGGAGGCAGCTGATCAATGATTTTCTCTAATCATTGATGTTTCTATCTCCCTCTCCCTCTCTAAAATAAATAAAGATATATATTTTTTAAAAAGAAAGGAGAGGCAGAAATAGGATGGATTCAGGAACCCCAGTCATGTTGCTCCAGAGGCAGCCCGAGGGCCTGTGGGAGGATGGACATAATCCAAGCTGGCCACTGGGAGGGAGCTTCTGGGGGGAGGGGGAGCCCTGGCCCAGGATGTGCGAGCAGAGGCTGGGCAGCTGTGCTCCCATCGGGCTCGAGCCCCCACTGAGAGCTACCCCGTCAGGCCCTGTGCTGAATGTGACATAGCACCTACACTGGGGAGCATCAGGCCGTGGAGGGACAGGGAGAAGAGCACCCCACTGGACCCCATGTTCCTGTCCCAGTTCCGCTCCCAGCTGTGAGAGCTCAGCCTGCTACATCCCCCATGAGACCATGGAACACCCATTTCCTTTGCTTCTAATTAAGACTTCAGACCATGAAAACAGCAATAGCTGCTACTTATCGAGCATCTGTTATGTGCCAGGATCTCTGCTGCGTGTTCCTCAGACATTACAACTTGCTTCCTTCTTCAGAGCCCTTTGCTCCTTCTTCCCATCCTATATAATAAAAGCCTAATATGCAAATCAACTGAACGGCAGAACAACCGGTCGCTATGACACGCACTGACCACCAGGGGGAAGATGCTCAACGCAGGAGCTGCCCCCACATCCAGCCCCCCCAGCACAGCGGTGGACATCCCCTGAGGGCTCCTGGACTGCAAGAGGGCACAGGCTGGGCTAAGGGACCCACCCCCCCACCCCCCTATGCACGATTTTCATGCACCGGGCCTCTAGTTATATAGATAAGAAAACAGAGGCTCAGAGGTTAACAACCCCAATGTCAGACAGATCAGAGGCAGAGCTGGGATTCAAACTCCCCGTGTGGAGGCCTTTCCCGCCCCTCAGACTGGAAGCACCCTGGGGACAGAGACTGATTTGGGTGTCTTGCCAGTAGATTCTCTTTCCACCACTCTGAACAGAGGATATCTCATTAATCTTATCATAAAACAATCATTCGCCTTTGATTTATTACCACCAGCTTCTGGTGCTTATGGAAGAGGCCTTGACTTTGGTCTGGTTGGGGGAGCAGGTACAGGGACTGAGAACTGGCGGAAGGGGCTAAAGCATCTGCCCTAGGTGATCAGGGAAGACTTCCTGGAGGCTGTGACAGTGGAACTAGACTTTGGGGGAAGAGAGAGGTGTGACAGGGAACAGGCATGCCCTTGGTGGATGGATCCTGTCACTCTTGTTGGACTTCGCTCTGAATTTGGAGGGCAGGACAGGTGTCACCTGTCTCCCTCTGGTGCTCGGTAAAAGCCTCCCTCCTGTTCTCTCCCCTCGGTCGATGGGGCTCCCTGTGACATAGGGGCCATGGAAGGCCAGGTGGTCCAGCATATTCTGTCCTAAAAAAGCCTCCTGTGCCCAGCAGGCCCCTCACGCTCTTCTCCTTCCCACAGCCAAGAAGACCTGTATGGACACCGACTTCACCTGTGACAACGGCCACTGCATCCCCGAGCGGTGGAAGTGTGACGGCGAAGAGGAGTGTTCTGACGGCTCCGATGAGTTCCAGGCCACCTGCCGTGAGTCCCGTCCCTCGGGCTGCGGGCGGGGGTCTTGGGCTTCGGTTTCCTCATCAGATCTTCCTTGGTGGGAGGTTGGGAGGCTCAAGGAAGGTGATCTGTCAAACACAGCCCCGGACTCACTTGGCGCTGTGCCCTCGGGGCTCCTGGCAAACGGCAGGTGAATCTAGTAGCCGGTGTCCAGCATCCTGCTCCGGGCTGTCTTCACAGCTCCCTGGCACACTGGGCCCCGCTCCTGCAGTACCAGGCGCTTCTAAAAGAGCCCTCTGAGCCTTCTGCCCAGAAGTTGCCATAGCACATCCTCCAGCCCTGCGCCCCTCTCCCCCACTGCCCCACTACCTTTTTGAGGACTCTAATCATAATTCTAATAATACTAACAACGGCTGGTGCTTGTGAAGCATGTATTGTGTGCCAGGCACTGTGCTGAGCTCTTTGTGTACATTAATTCCTCTTATCCCCACAGCAGCCTCATGAGGCAGGGACTGCCACTTTCTGAATTTTACAAAGCGGGACACCGAGGCTCAGAGAGGTTGAGTGACCTGCCTAAGGCTCCCCAGCCAGGATGTTGAGGCCTCAGTTCTTTCCTCTGCCCTGGGCAGCTCTGCCCAGGTCCTGGCCTCCATGGCAGGCTGGCGGCAGCCCAGGCAGCAGGGTGAGTGGTTGGCAGAGCTGAGCCCCAGGCCTGCCCCACACTCAGGGCTTTGTCTCTCCGTGATTTCTTTTCCAGGCTCTAATCCTCAAAGCAAACTTACACCAGCAGGTCATTCTGTGACATTTGTTAAATTAAAAAGGGAGATGGGAAGGGGGCGGGGAAGGACCCAGTGGTTCTGGAGGCAGAGCTTCATCCAAGTGAGCCTGAGACAAAAGACGGGGCGGGAGGGGGGGGGATAAGCATGTGGAGGATGTGGAGCTGGGGGGAACTGCAGTCACAGCCCCACGTCCTGTTAGGGGTACAGTTGTCCCAGAGGCAGAGGCAGGGACAATGGAGGCCAGCGTCCCATCTAGTCCCATCGAGGGCTGAGCTAGTGATAACTGGGTTTCCTTGTCTCCTAGCAACAGAGCTACCAGTCTTGGAGTGAGAGGAAGAGAAAGGGGGAGAGAGAGTGAGAGCAAGAACAACCCAGCCTAAGACAGGGCCCCCCAGCTCCCTTCCCTTTTGCCCTCACCTTCCCTGCATTGCCCCAGGCCTGATCCTTTCCTCACCCACCAGGTGCCAACCCCAGCGCTGTCCTGGGGGTGCCTGGCAGGGGGCAGCCAGCTCATCGTCTTGAGCTTCAAAAGGAACAAAGCCCAGCCACACCCACTGTGACTCTCATCCTCAGGACAACCTTGGCAAGAGGGTGGGATGGACCCCCATTTAGAGAGAAGGAAACAGGCTGGAATAGGTTCACCCCTTGCCCAAGGCTACCCAGCTAACAAGGGGCAGAGCCAGTGCCGCCCAGCGGCCGTGCAGCCTGTGCAGCCCAGTGCATGCATCTGGGGAGGGGCTGTGGCCACAGGGGGCTTTTCCACCACTGCAGCCAGCCAGCTGGGCCACCCGCCCTCACGCCAGCAGTTACCCTGGATGCTGGGGCAGAGAGGGAGGGGAGAGCTGCATCACCGTTATTATCGGGATCTGTCTTGCTGCCTGAGAGCTGTGCTCCCCTCTCCCCACTTCTCTGGGTTGGTGTCCCTTTTCATCTTCCTCCTGCCACCGGGTCCTGCCCACCCTGCTGGCCTGCCCCTCCCTCACCCTGCCCTGCCCCATGTCTCTGTCTTTGTCCTTTTTGCCCACTTAGCACTTGCTGCCTTCCCACCCCGGGCCTGCTTCGCACCCAGCTCTGAGGCAGTTACTGGCGGCCCAGAGCGGTGGAGGGCCTTGCTTCCGAGATGCTCAGGTTGTCGTGGCTGGTCTGCCTCCCGTGACGACAGGCTCCACAGGCTCCCTGAGGCTTGAGAGAGCTCCCATGGGAGCGTAGCCAAGGCTGCATCCAGGGAGGGAGGAGCCCAGCTCTCTGGGTCCTCCCAGTGATTACTGTGAGTTCCTCTGTGGGCCCTGGTTTCTCACATCTCAGAATTCCAAAGACCGTTATCCTAAGATTCCTAAATTCAGGATTCTGAGATACTTTCTCCTTTGCCTGTGCCCAGCTGGGACACGAGCTCGGGATCCCACTTCCGGTCTAGAGTTGCATGGTCAGAGGTGGACAGGCCTACGGGCAGGGAGGACTGCCTGGAGGAGGTGAGCCAGGGGGGACCTCAAGGGTCAGGCAGCATTGGAAGACCTGGTAGCAGGCTTCCTGACTGAACAAGAACCCCACAGCCAACCCGCTGCCCATTGAACTGGTGTTGTCATAGCAACCTTCACAGCCTACCAGGTTTCTGGGGATTGTGCCAGCTCCCAGGATTGAGCCCCTCCCCACCCTCAAAGAAGGATTATAGGCAATAGTAAAGTGTGGTGAGTACTACGGTGTTTGATATATTTGGGTTCAGGTCCTCTAACCTGTGAGGCCTCAGGCAAATTGCCCAATCTCCCTGGACCTCAGCTTATTCATCTTTAAAATGGGGGTAATGGTATCTGCCTTGCAGGGGATGTGAGGATCAAATGGAAAACTGCTCGCAAAGTGTCAGTGCTGCGGTAACGGGCAGTGTTACTTTCATTATTATATTTTTACTTCAGGCCCTCTCCCTCACATACCCCAGTTTAAAATCTTAGAATAGTATAAGTGAGGGGGGTTGCATCGAGAGGGTAAGGGATCTGGGAGCAGCCCCCATTCCTGCATTCCTCCACGACGACTGGGGTTTCGCCCAGCTCTCTTTCCTCTGGTTCTGGACTGTCTGTCGAACGCAGCCAGGAGTCACAGTAGGAAAGCCTGGGACATGTGCCTAATGAAAGTAGCATCGCAGCTCTAATTATAGCGCACTTGATTGGGGACGGCTCAGACCCACCTTCAGGCATTTGGAGGGGCGGGAGGTGGGGAGTTTGGTTCAAGGTGAATGAGTTGCAATTCTTGGTGCTGCTTATTGAAAATGAGGGTTTATGCATGAATCTTAGAACTTTTCCACCTGGAAGCAGACCTCACTGATTAACCAAGAGTACCTTCCTATCTATACTAATAAAAGCTGAATATGCTAATTAGCACTTTGCCCCCGTGGGAAGGAGCTGCTGCAACCACCCCTTCTGCACTGGCAGCAGCTGGACACTGAACGTTCCCAGGGCCCGAGCTCTGGTCCCCTTGGAGCCGGCACTCCCCACTTGGAGGTCAGCTGCCCTTGAGCCTCTCGTGACCTGACACACACACGTGCTGGCTCAATAAGCAGCCGCCAAGTACTTTCATTCTTTTATTCAACAGACATTTCCCTTTTTATTAATTTTCGAGCTTATGAATTAGAGAAAGTACCCATGGGTTTGGATTTCTGGGGCAGATTCTCTGGGAATGTGTAAATGCCTGCAGCCTCTCCAGCGTGCAGTTGGGCCCTCGCCAGCTGTGCAGGATTCCCCACGTCCAAGAAGGCGGGTCCCTCGCTCCTGCCTCTCAGAACCTGGGGATACTTGACCAGCAGGCCGAGGGCTTCCCTCAGGCATCCGTCTCAGGGTGACAGTGGTGGGCCTTGATAACGTGCATCCCCAGGGGGGAGACCAGGGCCCTCCCAGCCCATTGCATTTGCATTTTATGAACTAAAACAAGGACCATTCTTTTTGAGCTTAGAGTTTCTTGCAGGTTCTGAGAGTAGGCATTTCCGTTTCCCCATTTAAACCACCCACCAAATCTAGAAGACTGTGTAACCCCGTTTTCAGACAAGAGGAGCCAGTGTGTGGAGAGGTTAAGCGATTTGCTGAAGGAACTCGAAAGCCCAGGCTCTGTCGCCCACCTCATGCTCCCCAAGGCCTTTGGCTTCAGTCCTCCTGAAAGTGGGTGTCGGGCGGCCACCTGCCATCTTGCAGACCCTGCCTGAGCTGAGGCCCCTCGAGCCTCCTTCCTTCAGCACCCTCTCCACCCCAGGGATGCCGGGGAGACTGACAGGGGTGGGGACCCAAGGGGCCTGCTTTCTCTTGTGGTGATCAAGTGCAAAAAAGTCAAGCAGTGCGTTTGGAGGTGCATCCTGGGATGGAAGCCCAGCTCTGCCCTCACTGCAAGACTTTAAGCAAGCGACTTACCCTCCCCAGGCTTTGCTCTCCTCGTTCGTAAGATGAAGGTAATGACAGTGCCCCTCATAAGGAGACCTGCACTTCCCAAGGCCTGCAGCGAGAGGCCTGGCCCAGGAGCCCGGAGAGCACGGTGCACGCCCTGGCTTTGGGGCAGAGCCACATCACAGCAGACAGGGAGGTTCCGGGAGAGACGGGCCGTTGGAACAGCCGGCATCCCGTAGCCTCAGCAGGTCCCTTCCCCTCTCGGACCTCTGTCTCCTGTCGCTCTAACGGCTGCTCCTCCATGTGACCGCCACGACCCCTGGAGCCTGGCATTCCAGCATGGCGCCTTGGCGCTCTGAGGGCAGGAGGGCTGCTGTCAGACGCTGCCGAGTCCTCGAGAGCCTATAATTAGAGCTGTTTATTTAGGGACACGGCAAATGTCTTATTAATTATAAAGAAAGGAAGCGGACGGATTGTTTAATCATTGTCCTTGCTGAAAGGTTATGCAATTAACTGTATAAATATTCATTAAAAGTTCAAGCGGCTGCCTGCTGCCCTGGGGTCTGCAGGACCAAGCCCCAGAGGGGGTTCGGGTGTTCGAGGGACCTTCCAGCACCTGGGATGTGGGGCGGAGTCTGGAGCTGTTCTGAGCCCCTTCCCCACCCGCAGGAGCCTGTGGGGGTTGATGGGAAGGGTAACCTGGACTCTGCTTCTCGCCGCTGTGCATTTTGGCCATTACTTGGTCTCTCTGAGCCTCCGTTTCCTCATCTGCGACATAGGATGAGGGACCACTACCCTGTTCCACTCCATGGGCAATGCTGACATGACCATCTCTATGAATGGTGCCCTGGAGTTCACACTCACAGCCTGCAGGGCCTGCTTACCTGGCAGGTGAGGGTAGGGGTGAAACGGGGAATTGTCAAATGCTCAGCGTGGAGCAGGCCGACACACTGCAGGTGCTCAGTGCGCATGACTTCCTGGTTTCCTGAGGCCTGGCTCAGGGACATACAGTCACCTTGTCCCTCCATCCCATTGCTCTCTCCGGGCTTGCAAACATATAGAACATCGCTATCATTTTTCTGGGAGTGAATTTAAAAGAGATGAAATATCCTATATCTTTTGAACTTGCAGAATGATGACCTGGGAGTTTCCCAAGGGGTGCATGGGAATCACTGGGGTGGGGGATTTGCTAAAATGCAGATTCCTGACTCTGCCCTCGAAGGCTGGATTCAGTCTACTATGGGCTGGAGTATTTCCAACAGCCACCACACCCTCATCCCTTAGTCAGGACTCTGGGAAATGCCGGTCAGCCCCAGCTCCCTGTGTTCTGATGGGCCCTGAAGGGGAAGTGCTTACTGAGGTCCCAGTGTGTCAGTGATAGAGGTGCCCCCTCCCAACGCCCAGGCCCCTCACCACCCGGCACTGCAGCCCCAAGGCCGCCCCAGACTCGACACAACAGTCACTTGTTAAGGGAAATGTCTGTAACATGAATCCTGTATTCCCAATGGGTTGCCTTGTAGTCCATGAAATGTCATCCTAGGGATAACTTTGGGGTCTATACTGGGGGCCAAGGAACTCCTCTCTCATGGCACAGTAGTGTTTGGAGGCCAGGACTCAGACTCCTGCGCCCCCACCCCGTCTTGTCTGTGCCCTTTTCTCCAGCCCTTGTGGCCTCTTAGCCCAGCTATGGAAGTAAGAAGAGAACGAACTGGTCTGGGATCAGAGAGAAGCGTGAGGGTCAGGCAACAGTCACCCACTGCTTTCCAGTGCAGTGGACTGTCCAGCTGCAGGCACCAGACACAGCTGACGCTGAGTCCTCACTCCGTTCTTAACCAGCTGTGTGATCGCCGCCGTGTCTGGAGCAGAGCAGCGCTCGGTAGATACTCGCTGAGAGAATAAACCTGTCCTCCTAGGTTACCCGTGAATTAGTATCGTTAGTGCACTCTGGGCTGGGCAGGCCAGTCCTAAGTTCTTCCCAGACATGACCTTAGTCCTCATAACAACCCTATGTGGTAAGGAATAGTATTATCCCCACTTTAATGGCACAGAGATGAGGATTACTGGCTAAGGTAGCTAGTCAGTGAGTGGCCGAGCTAGGATTTGAACCCAGGCAGCCAGGCTCCAGAGCCCAGGCCTTTGATGTCTGTGCCACAAGATAATCCTCCCCCTGCTGAGTTTCTGTGAAGACGAAGACTATGCCTGGCACATCCTAGAGACCACTGTGTTCAGGAGCCGCCGCCAAGGTCTCAGAGGCGTCTGCCTTGGCTGGGTCTGCCCCGTGGGTCACCCTGAGATGCTCAGGATGAATGCCATCCCCAGCCCCATCAGGGTTCTCATTCTTTCTTCCAAATCGAGAATCAAGCCTGGGGCTTCGGGCCCCTGACTGAGTCAGCCTCTGATTGCAGCTGCAGTAATTATAGCTGTGTGGTCCCGCTGGGCCCTGCCACAGGCGGCTGCTCTCAGCAGCGGCTCCCACGATTGCCGGGAGAGCCCGTTGGAGGGGGTGAATTGTATAGCGGGTGGAGGGGGTGGGCTGTTGAGGCCTAGGTGAACCCTTCAGATCTGCAGGTTTGGATCAATGAGGCACTGAGACCCAAACAGGGCATGTCTTGCCCCAGGACACAGCTGGGAAATGGCAGAGATACTTGCAGGGCATGGAGCTCCGTGTTGCTGGAGCTTAAAGGGGAGGTTTGGACCCAGGGGAGGTGGGGCCGTCAAAGCAGGCAGGAGTTGGCCGGATCAAGGAGGCTTGATCACCAGGGATGAGGGGGGGCATGAGACAGAGTTAGGTAGGGGCCGTGGTGGAGTCAGATACAGGATTCAGAAAGTCTTCAGGACAGACAGGGGCTTCTCAGATGAAGACACCAGACATGAAACAGGAAGGCTTTGGTGGATTCCCAGGGCCTCAGGCCAGGTGGCTGGGGCCAAGCAGTAGGACGGGCTGGCACCAGGCCCTGTGTCCTCCTTGGCCAACCCATGCACATGTGTCTGTCTCCACAGCCAAGCAGGTGTGTCCTGCAGAGAAGCTGAGCTGTGGACCCACCAGCCACAAGTGTGTGCCCGCCTCGTGGCGCTGCGACGGGGAGAAGGACTGCGAGAGTGGAGCGGACGAGGCCGGCTGTGCCACCTGTGAGTCGGGGTGGGATCCCTCGGGTCTGCGCTGCACGGCCAGGCAGCCCCTGGGGGCGTGGTCGGTGGAGGGAAAGGGTGATGATCAGGACACTAGTGACGGCCAGGCACTTTGGAGACACTGTTTTCTTTCATCCTCACAACCACCTCACAAGCAGTCATTATCATTCCCATTTTATGGGTGAGGAAACTGAGGCTCAGACAAGTGAGGAAAAGTACTCAAGGCTGAGTGCTGGCACTGAGATTCAAGTGCAGGTCTGGACAGCAAAGCCCACGAGGTGTTTTCTTACCATGCCTGACATTTGCTCATCCATTCCATGTCTCTACCGGTCCCCGAGCAAGGGCAGGGAGAACAGATGGGACTGCAGCAAGAAATGGTGGTGGCCTGGGCCAGGGCACTGGTAGTGTCCGGGGCGGGGGTGGGGAGAGGACAGATTCCCGAGGTGTGAAGGACTGTTGCTGAAATCTCAGATTCAAGCGCAACGTCACAGGGCAGAGAGGACGTTCCCAGCGGCCTCGGCAGGGACAGATGGAAGTGGTCACTGGGACAGTTCCACATCACTGAGCTTCAAACACAGATTATCTCCATCCCAGGGAGCAGGCCAGCAGGGCCGAGGCCAGTGGGGAGCGTGGCTGGGCCGCGCTGGTTTCAATTTGATGGGCTCCTACTGTGTGCAAGGCCTGAGCCAGGCTCCGGAAGGGACAAGAGGCGTGTCCTACACGGTCCTCCCTCTGGGGCTCATGACTAATGTGGGGGACAGACCGGCTGTCGATAACCAGGCTGTGAGGCTGGGCGGTCACTCGGGAGCTTTTGCCAGGCATGTGCCCACCACTGTCTTCCACCCCACTCCCTACACCAACCTCTGTGTCTGCATCTTACCCACCCTTCCTGGCGCAGGGGAAATGCCCTGTCCTCTGGGGGCTTCTGAGTCGCAGCTCTCTGAGATTCTACGTCTGGGGTATGTGCCTGAAGCAGGAAGCAGCTGGGTATGGGGGAGATCCTGACGGGGGCCAGCACTGTCAAAGCCCCAATGATGGCATTGGCTCTTTTCTCCTCTGTGGGACCTCGCCGCCCATGAGAATCCTCTCCCCTTCGCACCCCCACAATCAGGTGCTTCCTCGGTTGTGAAGGCCATCAGCCACTATTGCAGGGGTGGGAACAGCTCTAACCAGGGCCTGGCATGCGGTAGCAGGAAAGTTCCCTGTCAATCATAGCAGACAGGGGTGTTAGATGGTTTTAGTGGGCTTCTCTGCTACAGCTCCCAACCTGGGGAAAGGAAAAAGAATGCACCCCTCTTCCTGTCCCCCGGAGTTTCTTCCATTTGTGAATGCTGTGAGTGGGTCTCTGGGCACAGGCCTGAGAATACAGATCTTAAAGTGGCTGTCCGCTTCAAAACGTTGGAGAGAATTCAGTATAGAGAAGTACTTCCTTCCAGAACTCTGAACAACGTGAGCCCTCGCTCCCTGGACATGTACACGCCGAGTCTGGACAGGAAGGAGTGCAGCTAATCTAGGCATCAGCATAATCATGAGGGGCAGACATCACAGGGTGACATGTGCTTTTCCCACCAAAGCCCCAACATCCCAAAAGCCTAGAAGGGGAAAAATGCTTCTGTCAGAAACTTGACAGAACTGTCAGCAACATGTGACTTGAGCTGCCTACATTGTGAAACTGAAGGCATTGTTCTATTTTATATTCAATAACAAAGAAAAAATAAAATTCCATCAGAAAAACAGACTCTTGGCGCCCCCATGTGGAGTGATCTGGTGCTACCACCTCATTACCTGCGGCCACAGCCAAGCCCCACCTCAGCCCCCCAGCTTGTTCTTGGCCTCTCTGTGTAAGGAATGAAGGAGGCAAGGAGGTCGCTGCTCCCACACCAGCTTACACTCCAGGAAAAAACCAGAGTAGGAAGGAAGAGCCCCAAACCCGAGTCCTGTTTCTCTCATCACCCTGGACGGTGTGACCCTGAGAAAATTGCTCCCCTCTCTGGGCTGTTTCCCGTCTGTAAACTGGAAGCTGGGCTGGTGATCTGTAAGGCCCTCCCAGCCTCTCACCTCAGAGCAGCCCACTAGAGAGGGAAAGCCCAGGACCCCAGGCAGGGCCAGTGACCTTTGCCCTTAACTACTGCACACCCCTAAATGAGCCCTCGCACCCATCCACAACACACCCACCCACTGCAGGGAGCCCTGGGCCAGGCCCTCAGCACCATGCTGGGTTGGTCTCAGAGCCAGTGCCATGCAGTGTGTGGTCCTGGGGCCGTGGAGAAGGATGTGAGACCCAGACACCTGAGCATGATGTGAAAGGCACCGGCAGGAGAGCAGGAGGGGGGCTTCCCGAGCAGGGAGCAGGGAGTGTGTTAGGAAAGAGGTGGCATTTGGGCCTTGTAAAGTGTAGAGACAGCGGTGGGCAACGTATATACCAGCCGATGCAACAGCTGGAGCCAAAGCCCAGAGGTGGAACGTGCGCAAAAGGTCTAACATGATCAGAGCAGGGTGTGTGCTAGAGTGAAGGAGGCCATGGCCCAGAGCAGGGGCTCCGTGCTCGTGGCCGTGGGTGCCAGGCCCGGAGACGCAGATGGTGCAGTACCGGCCATGGGAGGGTGGCGGGAACCCGAGCTGCTGAGCGGTGCCGCAAGGAAACAGCCCAGACCCAGTTCCCTGGAAGGGTCAGTGCCATGCTACATAGCATTTCCTGGGAACATCACAAAGGCCTGCAGGTGGCGCCCTGCAGCTTTAGAGACCCTCCTAGCGCCACGGTCCAGCGGGCAGTGAGGCTGGAAGGCTCAGGGAGGGAGAGTGTGTTACACACACACACACAACCTGGATTGGAAGCCCCCTTTGCTGTCCCTGGCGGCACGTCCACCATTCAGCCCCCAGCAGGGCTCCCTCTGGCCCAGGGGTGAGGGTCCAGCCCCTGCAGCAGGACCCGCGGCCGGG